CGTACCATGATCATGGTAGGCGAGCATCCTAACCGCTATGTCACCGCTATTGATTTTAACAACTCGATATACATATATAACTGCAGAACGAGAATATTCTTTGTTCAATTTTACTCTTTTCTCATCTAAAGAGGAATTTATGCCAATATTCTTCTTCAAGTGTTGGTTTGTAAGGAATAGATTTGTTTATACGAGTTGGACCACGGATTGATATCAGTTAGAGAACCATTGAAAACCAGGGAGTACTACCAGACAGCTGTTTCCTCCATCCTAGTTTGGGAATCATCGGCAGTACGCACCCACCACCAGAGTTCGAACCCCGGACCTGGCAGTTACAAGACAAGTTCGTATACCATTCAGCCACTGAGAGCCGATTCAATGGCTTCTCTAACTGACAGCAATCCGTGGTCAAACTCGTATAAGCAATATTAACATTACAATTACCTTAGTAAATTTATGTGTAGAACTCTGATAGTCAAAGATACCCATTCTAGGTCTACAGTGCAATAGGAAGAATTTAAAATTTAATGGTAATCCAGTATGCTAATTATTTGATTTGCTTCAGGTTAGGATATCATTCTAGATACTATTCAATATAAATAGGCTTATGAAGTAAATTATAACATTCAACGAAACGCGCATATATCATGTTTCCTACATTGACAACAGGAAATACGTGCACTAAGACGTGTAGAAGACACTTGCATCGTTTAGAGATTTATTTTTTTCTCTCTCTCTCAGTATAGTGAGTTTTCTTTGATCACCATCAATTTATTAACTCATCTATGAGGATTCAAACGAACTGTCGTCAAGATTTGGCAGAATAGTTCTAAAATATTTGGGCACCGAGTGAGAAATAGACATTTGTAAATTAATCATTTCAATCTCGCTGAGATTTTACAAATATAAGTTTTTTTTACATCTATGAGCATTTAACAAAAGAATAAAAAATGTGTATTCATTTCTCTTGTCCACAACCCACCCACCCCCAACACTACCACCACAAAAAAAAACTTTTGGAGTTTTATTTAGCTATGAATACGTTTCATCACACCTTAATCAAATCAGGATAGATCCCAGTAACTTAATCTGATAAAGAGCATTATTTTTTGCAGCTCATCTTATTGAATATTTCCAGGAGTATACAGTTATGCTTAGCTTCTTTTAGTCCTATTTTACATTCATATTATTATTATTATTATTCTATTCGATTATCTTATCAACAAAGATAAAACCTTCCCGATTTCGTGATCTCCACTACTTTGAGTAATTTTGATGATAATGGTGATAATAATAATAATAACAATAATAGTAAACTTTCCATAATTTTATCTTAATCATTTGATTTAGTCTGTGACAATAAAGATGATTACACTTTTCTTTTCATCAAGCATAAATTGATTTTTTTCTTTCTTTTCAATTATAAACCACTTTTATGTAGAAACCAAGTTTACTGTTATCCAGTGCATTGATGATTATAGATTTAGCTTGTATTTAGGTGACTTCTATTACCATAAAACACTCTTAAATTACTAATCTCTTCACATACAGTTGTATGACTTCTTTTTTTCTCGCACTATGGGTTGTGCAATTTATTAAAAACGTATAGTTGATGTACTAAACTTTAATAACTGAATGAACCAATATGAAAGATATCAGTTGAATTTATCCAAATAACTGAAATAGAATTGTAAGTATGCAAACTTTTGAGACTTAAGAGAAAAAGTGTACACAACACGATAACACATAATGTCATAGCCAAAGTCAATGTCTTTTAAAAGTTGACCTTCAAGAACCGATCGCACACAGGGGATGATATGAAATATTATTCTAAATCAAAGCATGCCTGCTTTTTCTGGACTTGGAGAGAATACATACAGTATTCTACTTATTTACTAGATACTTTTTCTGCAAATCTATACTGTTAGGTAGGGTTATGGCTCTTACGATTAAGGTTTAAGGTTAGGTTCGGAGTTAAAGTTAGGATTATGGCTGGAGTTAGGAGTAGGTTGGAGAATAGTGTCAGAAATATCAATGGATCTAATAAATTATAATTATATTTCAATAGTTTACACACATTGTGTGTAATAGTTATACCGCGCATGGTACTATTTCTCTATAGATTACCTGTATATTGACTGGGAGACATTCTTACAACACATAACCTACAACTCTACAGTGTAATATCAAGTTTGCAATATTTCCTAGCGTATTTTTCAACGATCATGCGACTTTTTGCATCTGAGTTCTGATTGATTATTCAAGGTCATTGTGGTTTTGCCTATGATAGTTTAACTTTGCCCGATTGACACTAAACATAATGGTATTTTTATCCTAAGATATGTCTTCACTTAAGTCCGTATAACTGTACATAATGTGTTGACAAGTTACTAGAAGAAACCAAGTTATAATTTCATTCGGACTAGCCTCCTGATGGTTAATACCATTTCTTTCTGTAAAGAAAAAAAGCAAATACTTCACATTATTAATTATTCTTTTAGCTAAGCTTTTTAAAAATAAAAGTAGAGCAAAATCTAGAAAAATAATTAGTTCCTAATATTTGTTAAATTTCACTTTAAAGTTTTTAATTCCATCTTTAGATTTAGAAACATTGCATGCATTATTGAAGGAATAAGAATTAATTACCACGACTGGAACATAAAAATTGCTGGTTTCTGATTATCATATTGTGAGAAGCTGTTTCCGCAAAACAAATACAGACAATACATTGACCAAATAAATCTGTCTTTCGTACATACATATACCTTTGGTATTTTAATTTTGATTATTTCCCTGAAGAATTTCAGAGTAGTTTGCCGAACGATACCTTGGAATTATTCATTTCGATTTCTCTGAGATGTATTTATAGAACGACCCGGTCAAATCTTGATCAGAGATTGTATAAATAAATAAATAGTTTAGAATCCCAAATATATAGATCACTGTAATTCAGAAGAAGGACAGAAATATGTTATAAGCTTGAACTTCAGAATGGAAATTATTTAAAACTTCCCATTGTCTGAAAGTGTATTGATGTATTGAGTACGGAACGAGGAAATTACCATTACGGAGTGTACTTATTCATTGAAAGCGACATCCTCATGATGACATAACTCTTCAGTCAATTAACGTAACTGAAGACAATTCCACATTATCTTTACATTTTATTTAAATTTTTGAAATATATAAATTCGAGTTTAAGAAAGATACATCTGTTTTTTTGGATACATTCAAACCTTTTGAACAAGAAGAATCAAGCTTTTACATTTAAAATATAATTATTTTTATAGGTGATTTTATGTACTTCCATCTAGGTTGTTTTTGGTTTAGTTATGCTCATTGTTAAAATCTTGAACAGAACTGTATAAACATTTAATTTGCGAGAAATTAAAATAATAATAGTTGTTGATTTCATTGAGAAGCGAATCGATAAATTTAAGTTTAAAGTAATATTCCAATTAGAATAAGACTTTTTGACAGTACAACAAACATTCGCACAACATTGAGCAATAGAAATAATATTTATGATATTTGTATTCATGATACCAGGCATACAAAATTAGTAGATTGTATTCGGTTCATCATACATACAGTAGTAGATTCCAGGAATGAGATATAGTTACTAAACTGGGAATGCAGATCAGTACTTTAAATCCAAACGTCTATTCAACCGACCCTCTCAGTAGTGACAATGTCTAGAAAACTTCCTTTCGTTTGAATTTAGATCCTTTTGCTTCATGTATTCATAGATACATTGCTACCTTATTTAAAGATATTCGAATGTGAACAACAAACTAATGCTAACCCACTTTATTTAAAGAGTGAGGAATTTAGGTATCTAAATGGGTAAATTTACTTTCATCAGGAAGAGACGTGTTGCTCTTACGCGGTTACTAAGAGGAGGCGAGGTTAGTGACTACTCTGAAGTTCGACTGCTAAATGTAAGGTAATTGTATTGAGTAGCAGTTCAAATGCAAGACCTCATACTAGATATGATGAGACTACACACTTAATAAGCGATACATGAGTCTTAGACAAGCTCCCAGACATCCTGAGGGTTTTCAGTATAATTAACTTTTTGCGAACCAACTACTGTAAATTAAACTAAGTTTTGTTCCAATGAACAAAACAACTGGATGTCAAGGTGATTTTCGGAAGGCATGGTTGCACCAATGGCCATTTCAAACACCCCTGCTTAACTTCCGTCTCTTTTTTAGTTAGGGAAATATTAACTTATTATCTGAATCCCAAAATCATATCTGTAATGTTAAGAATACCATTATGATCTAAAATGTTGGTTAAAAACCAATGTGAAATGTACTCTTAGCAAGACTCTCAGATTTTTCAGAGAAGGAAATAATGACAGGTTTGATAACTTATTCATTTAGTAGATCCCGAAACAAAAACGCGTGAATAACTTTAGTGAACAAGGTTGGTTGCTCAATAACCTTAGCACTTAACACATCCACATTTAGACTTTAATAGAAAAGTTGTGTCAGGGCTACAAAAACGCTGAATATATTCATCGGTTGTCCTCATTTGAAAATCCACTTCAGTTGACAACGCCATGATGGGAATCAAATTAATAATCCACTTAACGGGTCTGTATACATCTTTGTTATCAGATTTTTATTACTCAAAGGTGTAACTATTTCGAATATCCTGACTATCTTTCTCACCATACAAGTCATTTCTTTAGATCCACTATAAGTAATTTTCATGCATACCACAAATCATAGTGATGTGTAGAGATTTTAGCCGGAATGAAAAGAAAGTAGGGCCATAGAACTAACCTTCAATCTTAGCTTTGCGATTGGTTAATTTTTCAACCAGTCTGGACTGACCTATGAATGACTGAGGGCTATTGACATAATAGCTAGACTTGCTGTTTAGGTCAACCAATAGAAAAGCAAAAGGCAAGGCAAACAGCAATCGATCGATAAGCCGGGCAGTGACATTTTTGAGAAATCTTTGAAATTATACATTATTTTTAAATGAAATTCTCAAGTATATCTTACTTTTGATAAAAGCAACACTTTGTTACAACCTGTGGTAAAACCTATGATAGAAGTCTGAATTGAAGGTGGTGGCAATCCTGTCTTAGCGACCAATCGATTTTCTTCTCTCCGTTCACAACACAGGCATAAGTTGAATCAAACTAAAATATTTATTTGATTCTAGGCTGTCTACATTGCGGTCTGGTATTGTCGCGCTCTGATGTTATGCTTGGATTTCGACGCTGTATACTTAACTTACAATTTAATTCAAGTTGACGATTAAGTAATGCGTGTAACACGATATTTGTGGATTAATAATTTACCTGCCCGTGTAACTGAACAAGATATTCGTGATGTTTTACAAAGGTAGTCTATTTCAAATCCGGAGATTTTTATAAATTGGATATATATTACTGTTTTCGTTGTTGTACAATTCTATTTGCTATGCATGTCATTTGGAATTAAGCAAATGGATTTACATTTTGCTCGGTTTTCTTTTCAGTCATGGAAAAATACAAAGTGTACGCATACATGAGCACGATGGAAATAACGGTGCTGTTGTTGCGTTTGTTGATACTAAATCTGCAACACGAGCTGTGGAAAGTACTGTTCGACTAAAAAAAGTTAATTTATCTCTTCAATACTGTGAATCATCGGGTATCCCTGGAAATAATAGTACAGAACAACTGTCTACTTCTGCGGATTATACTCAAACAAGCAACACTAGGTAAAGCATTTGAATGACTATATTTGACATTAACTTATCAGCCTTTTTCAGTCAGATGGTAATTATTCACAACAAAAAAGTCGATCTGTGAGTACCGTTAGCGACTCCAGTTCTGTATTTCATGATCCGGACAGTAAAGAACAATCCCAAACCTGGTAGATTTCTCGAAATCCGTTTAATTGACACTTTTATTAAAATAGTTTATCAAATACTGCGACAAATCGAAGTTATTCTAAGGATTCTAAAGCAGCCAATATGAACACAAGTCCTCATCCTCAAAATGAACACCGTGGATTAAAAATTACTCATCTTCCTTTGCGTTCATCAGATACAAATTTGCGGGAAGGATTGTTTCATGAATATAAAAAGCATGGAAAAATCACCTCTGTGTTCGTTCGGGGACAAGATGAGGAGCGTATCTGCATAATAACATTCAAAAGGAGTGAGGATGCCGAAAGAGCACTTGCATCATCAAAGGGTAAAGTGTTTTTCGGTACTCCTATATCTGTGCATCCTCACGAAGGTTTAAGTAAGTCTCTTTTTTATTGGTAATTAGGTTTTTCATATAGATGCTGAAGACCCTGATCTATGTCCTCCTGAACACGCTTTAGATGAATATCATCCGAAAGCCACTAAGACTTTGTTTGTGGGTAATCTGTGTTCAGGCACAATAACTCAGGACGAACTTCGTCGGACTTTCCGTGGTTATGGTGAAATAATTGTAAGTTTAGTGTTCATTTATAACTAACCTTCGTAGGAGATAGATATTAAAATCCAAGCAAACCAACCCGGAACGTCATATGCATTTATACAGTATGGAGATATTAAAAGTGTTGTTCGAGCATTGAAAGATCAAGAAACCGTGCGTGTCAACGGAAAGCCTGTTAAGTTAGGTTTTGGTAAAAGCCAGCCTACAAATGTAGTTTGGCTTGATAACTTGTCACCAACTATTAATGAAGCTTTTCTAACGAGACAGTTTGGACGATATGGTCAGCTCACACATGTGGTTTTGGACAGAAAGTCAATGAGAGCTCTTCTGTACTTCGATAATGTTGAAGTAGCTCAACATGCAGTAAATGAAACTCGCAATCGGGCTCTTGTTGGCCGCAAAGTGCAGATAGATTACGCAGGATATGAGTGTCAAGTTGCCTTCATGAGGAAACTGGCCAAGCATGACAGCTTTGGACAAGTTTATGAAAACTATAAGTAAGCTTCGCCACTTCATTTCATTGTTTGTCTATACTCGACATCTTACACGCCATTTTTTGTTTGTTTAGAGAACGGTTGCAAGAAGTTCTGTCGCTTTTACCATACGGAGGTGTTATGCCCTATCTTGGAGATCGACAAAGGTATGTGGATTTAGTGATATTTGTTAGATTACGTTGTGTAATTTTGATGAACATCAGGTGCAAGGTTTACATTAGCTATGCTTCATTGCGATATTTGACATTTGTTACGGGTAGCGAGTAGCTGTCTCCGTAGCCGAGCAATATTAGCCGATGGATGTTTATGTTAGAAAGGTGCTAAAGGTTGTCATTCAGAAAAGTGGCCATCGAGATCCTAACAAGTGTGATGTGCTCAAAATCGTTCACGATGGCGTAGATTCATTCACTTTCCATTAAATACCTATTATTTCCCACTTAAACATCCTTTCTCCCGTACATTTTTGCCTTAGTTTCTAAGCCTTCTCTCTAATTTGGTGTGCTTTTTGTGTAACTCGGACTGATGCTTTTTTGTACAAGGTTATTTGTTGCTAATGCAGTTCAGTTTTTGTTAGGTGATTCATTTGTGATTGATATACTCTTCTAATAAGCTCTTCTGAGGTATGGTTTCATTTTTGGCATCTTCGGTGAGTAATTTGTAGAATTTACAAGTGACTTGATAAAGTACTTTACTCTGCTACAATAACGTTTTCAGCTTTCACATTTTAAATCAATGGTCCATTTTGTGGTCGACAAGAGGGACTCTGAAATGAACATAAAATTAGTGTAGTCGATTTTATAGGTTAGGTTGGAATAAGGAGCAGAAGACTTTGCACTAATGAGTATTGTCACAGTCCCCAACTATCGATTTCTTTAACTTTTATCAGGAGACGGGCACCTTCGTACGCACAGAAAAGTGGTCAGGGACTAAATATGTTCCATACCTATGTTGGCTTCCTTGTAGCGTAATTCCACCTTTCTTGTATTCTTTCAGACTAAGTTAACGAACTCGGTCGCAACGCGTAGCTCAGAGACTCAATGATTTGGTTATCCTTAGGTTAACTGGTATGATGACAGGCATTAAAGTATGGGTTTTTCTTTAGTTTAACGGGCTTTTCCGACTCTTTTCAATGTAATTAATCATCAGAGCCCTAATACATTCTCATGAAAATATTATATAATCTTAGAAATTACAATTTACGGTTTTGACGTAGAACTTTGCACAGATGTGCAGCAGTTCGAGTTCATGGGTTATTCCTCTCCAGTTATTGAGAATCGGTACAGTGCGAAAATGCAATCACTCCGTATGGCCTTATAAACGTTCCTAACTATTATCTGATTCCTCAGTCATCTTAATGATTTCAGACTATCGTTATCTTTGATCGAAATCTGTCACCCGAAATGTTTATCTGGGCATTTACAGCTTTCCGAAATGTGGCAATACTTGTGTTTATGTGCCAAACGAACATTACTCTAAGGTCAGCGTTCTTTCCACTATTCCAGTTGTCTATCTCTTAAATATATCATGTCAGTCTTTTTAAGTCAAATTTTTACTAACAGCCAAGTTTTAAGAATTGGTTCCTTAAATAAATTGAAACACTTCTAAGCCGTCACACTGCAATGTAGCCTTTTATTTTTTCAATTTTTTATTCACTTATTATATGGAGTTAGCTGTAGTTCTCATTCCTTGCTAAGTCCTTGCTGTTTTTCAACCCGATTTTTGAAGTTGGTTAAACACTGAATTTCCGACCTTGTAAAACTAGACTAATAGCCACACGCATTTTGTACAAAGCTGATGATACTATCCGGTCAGTCACCCAGGTCGAATTGCATGGCGCCTAAATCTGGATCCATCAAATCAAAGTAATGCCTAAATCAGTGATGCGTAACGTAACTTTTTACCCAGGTGGAATTAGGTGTTTTTAAGTAGAATTCCAGACACTGCTGTATGCTTGGCATCTTCGGTGTCTAGTTTAAGGGTGGAAACAACAAATAATGTGTTGTGATATTTCCTATTTATTAGAGCACCATTCATTCAAATGCAATGCGAACGACTTTCAAATGGGATGTGCTTTTTATCCCGTAACATAACTATGTGGAAAATCGCAGTAACTGATTGTCCAACTCAAATACTAGAAGCGTATGTCACGCCTAGTAATCTGACCAGATAAAGCCAAGTTAGTACTTACGCTTGACAGGATACTGGTTGAGGAAGTTGGTTGGCTCGTATGCGTAGCACATGTTCTAACCATCTCGTTCAAAACTTCATAGCATCATCGGTCGCCCTTTATTTCTTACATAAGATTCAGTATCCTACTTGATTATTAGTTAGCATGTTCCCCAACCAAATATTAAAGACTAAATGATAAAAAGTCTATATTACTCCTGTATCCTACCTTCATTGATCATATCTAAGCAGAAGGACAACAGTACAAATTGCTGCCCTGTACATGCACTTTTATGGGTAGCGACATACCACACATGTTTGTTTGTTTACTTCGGCTATCTCCTACGGGAGGATGAGCCGGCTTCATGAACATCTCGAATCATCGCTGACCAGGCGCGGCGATCTGATGAAGAGAGTTCATGAAGTTTCATGGGAATTTGGTACGAGTGATGTCCCCAGAATCGCTCGGCCTTTTGTTTGAGAGTGCAGCTCTAGCCTTTACACAACCAAGTGTGACCTACAAGGCAGTAGGAGTGGAGTAGGGAGTCCACTATCCATTGGCAGCCGGTGACCGGAGTTCGGTTCATACGCCTTTTTGAATGGGGCCAGACATCCAGGACATCCAACAAGCCCTTTGTCCATACGTCTGCCGGTGAGTTCCAGTGAGCTTCATACGCCAGTCGTTGGAGGTTTGGAATCAGGGTTTAGCCATCTCCCCTAGACTGTCATCCAATGGACAGTCAACCCGGTGAGGAGCGCCGGGCATCCGCTTTCGCCCTCTCACTTTGGTGAAAAACACCTCCGCCACGTGAAGGCAGTGAGTAGGACTTCCTCAGGAGAGGCTATGTAAGACGCCCGGTCATATGGGAGCATTTCAAGAGGTGTGCGGAGGGGTGGCCAACCCGCAGCGCAAGGCACCCACCCCCGACCATCCTGAGGCACCAGAGATAACACAGTTTTTCAGATGCTAAGATTTCGTCAGCAGCTAGTTGGTTAGAACTGATGCAACTGATCATGTGGGTGAAAAGTGGTCAATATATTCAACCATTTCACTTGCGGTATTGTGGCATTATCCTGCACTTGGTGGGAGTTTATCTTAATCCAAATGCACCTCAAATGATAATGCATTCTGCGTAATCTGAGTCAATGGGACTTTGCTTTGGTATTTACTTGATTTCTTTGTCACTGAACTTAAAATGACTCACTGTTATCAGTATGAATATAATAAATCATCAAGTAAGAACGGTGACATCGGGTATACGTGGTATACCACTGGTCATTACTGCAATCGGTCAATGTGTCTGTGCACCCGAGCTTATTGAACGATGCCGTGGAACCTTGCACAAATGTGTGGCAGTTCATTTTGCCGCACTCTACCACACAAAGGTAGAGAAAACGAAAAAAGTTCAAAAGAACTATATTAAGCAGAAATGTAGCAGATTATAAAAAGCGAATGTGTCTGCACTGTTTGGAATGACTTTAATCCATATCATCAGCAGTCTCAAGCCATTGGTTGTTACTGTCTCGAAGGTAGTATAGATATCCCTACTTGGCTCAAACCGATATGTAAAGATTCCATGTATTGATGTCGCTTCTAACTCTTTTCCAACATATTCCTATGTCAGCTAAGATTACCTGACGAGAAAGACAGTGCTTCGGCATGCGTAACACGTGTCATGTCGTACCTCTCTTAGTCGATACAACTACACAACCTCATCGATTTACTTATCCTCCTTACTTAACACTGCACTTAACCTCAATATTACTCACCACATATACCGCCTGACATGAGAGATAAAAGACAGCTAGAAACATCAGGTCCAAGATTTTTTATGTCCATGTTCCACAACCCTAAGACAACGAACTGTTCTGCAAAACACACGTCCTTTGATCGGTAACCCCACACGCCGAAGATGATGTCATTTTTCTGATGCAAATTCCTAATCAAGTGATGTGGTCCACACGCTCCACCACTTCACTCCTTATCGCTAAACTAAGAGTCGGTGTAGACCAGTCCTGTAACACCATCTTACTTTTAACAGGAGCAAATTGCTTGCGAAACATTCGGAGATTTCTGCCTAAGTTGTTCAGAAGATAAAATTAAAAAAGTGGGGACAGTGGGCATCTCACTGAGTGTTACCAGTGGCATGGCTGCATGATTTCTGGTGGAGTGCCTTTAGTGCGACATGCCTTCTCGGCACATTACCTTCATTACCAGACATTGCTACAGGACCTCTCGGTCGACGGGGTCGAGTGCTGCTCTCATGCAAGTGTTGGGCACCGGTAATTATGCTTATTTCCCAGAATCTGTCGGTCTAAAGTCTCTCGGGTTTGTACAAGCAGCGCTCAGTCCACTCATGATTATTGATCTTGAAACTTTAGGTACTATATCAGGCTGATCCTCTTTGATTATCAAAAGAAGCCTTGTCTCTCGTTTTATCGACTGGGGTAATCAACTATTTATACCAGTTTAACAGGACGACCTCTAATTCCCAGGTATTATCTTATATCTCAGCTAACCTATGTAATAGTCCCACTACTTTACCTCATTTCAATTTAGTGACAGCTCTTGCAACCTCAGTTAAAGTTGGAGGATCGATGCCTACGTCCCATCGAACTATGAAGTTTTAAGGAATACACTCGATTTATATCTAAATAATGCCTGATTTTTTCGAGCTCAACTTAGTCTTTGTAGGACTGAGAATTCTACCATCTTAGATTTAGATACTATTAGTCAGGTCGATTTTCCGCGGTTATCGCAGCAATTTTAGTTTCATTTCTTACCAACTGGAACGATAAATTATAATTTATAACAGTCCGATAAAACTCTCGATTTCCAAAACGTTAAATAGTTGTCAAACTAATCTCAGTAATTCATTACCGTCGTCCTTATGAGCATCTTAAAAGACTTCCGAAGTCAGACTAGGTTTCGCTGCTACGCCGTTTTTAGGATTAGTGATAACTTTGAATACTTCCACTAGTGTTGCAGGACTGAAGTCTGTGACCCATCCAGTTAGAAGATTGACGTTGTGCAGCTGTGTGCAATTCTGGACAGATACATAATGTTACATCTACTCCTGCCCTTCTCGGAGGTCTTTTTTCGGGTTTGACTTATTACCGATGCCCTTAGCACTTCATTTCCTTTTGCTACTTGGGACTCAAAACTTTCAGTCAACTTAGATTTTTCTGTCCTCATCATTTTTAAAGTCTCATGCATCGTTCAGTTTGGATGAGATTACAGATACATTGGTTGTAAATTATTCATGAAATCAGCTTACCCACTGTTTTCTTAGTTGTTTTTATAGCGAACTGACTATGGTTTCGAACTTACGTAGTGTGGACATTACTGTCATTCTCCTATAAATTTTTGATTAACACTTAAGATACAGACTTCATATTTCCATCAAAGAAATGGACACATGACAGCTTCTCAGCGACTGTTCCTTTTCAGACACACGTGCAGTAATGGACACATGGTCTCAGTCCATGCAGACACTATGGGGATGGATATTCCTCCACTAATATACTCCATCGAGGTCGGGATGCAAGTCATTTTTAAAATAATAAAATCGAAAGATATCTAGAAAATAGTCTAATGTCCTTTTGTTTCAGTATGTTTTGATTGTTATATTTGATTAATTAGTGGTGATTTGTCAGTAATTGTTATTTGTTTGGATTCCAATCTATATCTATTCACCTGGCACGCTTCTGTTTTTTTGTTTCTACTCAGGTACTTTGGCGATGGTCAACGAGATCATTTTCCAAGTGGAAATACAAAGTTTTCTTATAGGAGATCCAACTGCATTCGTAATAGTCCGGTGGATCGTTCTCTAAAGTATGAACCATCCTCTAATAGGAACAAATGTATGTCACCGATATCCCCCCGCAGCCGATCACACCTATCATCTGATCGTAGGCGAACATTTATTACCAGTTCTCCTGATGAACCAAGACTATCTTGTAACTGGGTCGGCTCACATAGCAGTCGGAGTTCGCACTTAAAAAATGTACAAAGTGAAGATAGGTCAAGTATGGCGCCTCACAAAAAGTATCAACATGGGGAAATTCCTACCAAATCAAAGACATCACGGCATGTACCCCACGCTGATACTAAGTCTAATTCTAACTATCGTCCACATATTGATCAGTCGTGTTCGCGAATCAAAGGTCAGTTACTTGAAGAAACAGATGATATCAGTAGTGGTTCATTTTCTTCAGGATTTACAAATGATGACAGCATTTGTGAAACCTCCTCTTTGAGACATAGCAATAGCAGCTCTGATTATTCAGCACCAACGTCAAAATTACCGTCACACGTATCTCGCGATCATGTTTTAGGTGGCGACAAACGAAAAAACATAGATGCTGATATTTCAGTCCAGAAAAATGCTCGTTCTAGCCGTCATGAGACAGTTCCTGTAGAGGATTCACCCTACTCATCAAACAAAAAACATGCTCAAAGGTCAAGGGAGAGTGCAAGCCCACAACTCCGAACAAATTCAACTCGCACATCTCGTTTGTCCTCATCACACCATCGCACAAATTCAGTATCAGATAGAAACTTGAGTCGCGGAGATAGTAGTCATGAGCATTTGGAAGATAGCATTAATCAAAAGCATAACAAAACTAATATGCATTTCCAAAGTAGAATGCTGATAAAATCTTCTGATAATGATTATAGTAGTCCAAGTTATACCTCGTCAAAATCGAAGCGAGTTTTGCTTTCATCAGTTGCCTCAGCATACAAAGATCCTGAATACTCCAAACAGTCAAACACCACTATAAGCCCTGTATCACCTGATGATTTTCACTATCATAAAACAGAGGATACATATGCACGTGTTACCAATAGCTCTGATCTTCCTATCGCAGCAAAATCGCATGATACTTTAACAAAACTTGAAATGGAAAGAGCCAAATTGCTTAGAGAACTTTCTCTACTTAATAATGAAGTTATTGGTGGCAGCAGAGGAAAAACCATCAACTATACAAATAATGTTGATGACTCTAAGAGAAAGCGTGCTCGGTCGTCTTCAATGTTTCTCGGTGATCTGCCGTCACCAAAGTTAAAGTAAGTTCCTAATTTTATCAATAACTGCGTTTATTATTGCACAGCATAAACAGTTTTGCATGTTTGGTAAGCCTTGAACTAATAATTGGTTATAATCGTTCCTAGTAATTTGTTTTCCCTTGCAAGATATTTCTCTATTGAGAAATTTTAATTTTATGTGACACTAGTAATTGTTGATTCGCTTTTGTAATCTAAGCTAGAAGGATTTAATCTTCAGTTTAAACCGTTGTTCACGAATCCCTACCGTAATTAGTTTACTTTAGAGTAGTGTTTAAAACTTATTAGTGTTAAAAGCATAACACGAATGTACAATTGTGCAAGAGTATTCTGCCACACAGTTAATCAGTCGATAAAATTAAGTTTTCATGGTGCTCGGAAAGATGATCCAATCTTCTGTACATGTTACTTTGTCATGTTACTATTTCCCGGAGTATATATGTAAGCTATTTTTGGCATAACTTCTTCGAGGACTATTATTGACTTTGATTTAGTTTTTAAATAGGTACTTGGTTTTTGAATCGTTAATCAGATACCAACAATCTATGTTTTTTTGTATGTACTCATAATTTTGGAATAATTGATTTCGTCTATGTTATTGTTGTTTAAGGCGTTACTCAATGTTTTGTTCATTATATCCTGAAAACACTTTTGTGGTTATGATACAAAGTCTTTTTGGATAGGTAAAGTGTGCCATATTAATCTAAGGATTTGCGTTTAGGCAGCAATTATTGGTGTAATGCTTTTGTTTATTTGTCGGATTTATCATAAAATTCAACATAGAAAACAAGGATGATGATGAATGATGAAATTTATTGAATCACTATGAATGTCGTGATTTAAAGTCAGTTTAAGTCAAAAGTCGATTATAATGTGCATACTCTTTATCTTCTTAGAAATCTTCAACAAATTTATTTATTTGTTTTCCTTCACTCATATTTATTTTTATCTAATACTTTTCATTTCATTTATATTTTTGTTGTTAAGACAGTGTTTACAAATGCCTTGACAGAGCACTGAATTTTATGCAGTATGTTAGTATACAGTATGTCGTAAACATTATTTCAAACCACTAATCGTCAAGTTTGCAGAAGGTCACAAACAAGACCTGTTCATTGTCGGTTGCGTTTGTACGCTCACCGTTTTCAGCTGTCTATAGTTTTCATTGTTATTATGACCTGTGGAGATGTGGCTCATTGCCTTAAAAACTCGACTATTAGTCCCGGGTTCTAGTCCCGCTCCCCGCCTACTACATTCTGCGCAGCTAGGTAGTATCATTAGCCCCCCCCACACACAATAAGTATGGTTTATAGCCCAGTACTGGGTAATTGAGATCTAACTATCTATGACCGGAATTGATGTTTTAATGATGCAGGTGCAGTGTTACTATATTTACAAGTACTTTTTTCATTATCGTACTTCTATATTATTTTTGTCAGTTGCGAGTCAAAAACAGTTGACCATGTCTCATTAGTAACACTTGACCTCTATGTTTTTACGTTCCTCTTGCTTTACAGTTCAATTATCGAACATGTTATATTTTTAATTTTGTAGATGTGTTGATAGTGGTGCTAAATGTGAACTAGCACCCATCCAAAACCCTATCTTTACCAATGAGGAGTTGATAAATCGTGGAACCCGAAAATTCACTTCTAATTCTCATTCTATGAAACACATGGCAACTGTGCATGATTCAAAATGTTCACTTCCCACTTCTACACAAGGTACTGGTGACATGCATGCCTATGTTCCACCAATGGATAGTCATTTTAGTCGAAGTGATGCAGCGTCACCTAGTCAAAAGACCTCATTGACCAAACCCTCAATGTATAACGCTCATAATAGTTCTCGGTCTGTAGTGCCTGAGAGTGTTATGCCTAATAGTTCCAACTTCTCAGTTAGTCGACAGACTGTCTTGATGACATCTTCCCCAAGGATGATTGTTCCCCCTGAACCTACATCGCCGATGGTACACATTACACCTCCCAGTTCACCACTAATTATGGATAAGTCATCATATGCTTTCACGCCTAATGCTACCTTTTCTTCCTCCCTTTCCGCAACTTCGAATTCTGGATCCATTTCGTCTTCGCTTGCTAATTCTTGCAGTAGAGATCCTCGTCTGGCTATTTTTCACAACCAATTGTCCAGTGATATCCCTCCACCCCCACCAGAAACCTTCAAATTACCATTATGGGTTGATACCTCACCTCATACAGAATTGATTTCTAATTCAGTCACGAACCGTATACTAAAAGCTCAGTCTCCACCTTTCACCAAATCTCTTTGTGACGTTGAACATGATATTTCTACTCATGATTCAAATGGTTGTTCATTGGATGAACGTATTAGACTTTTGGATGTCCAGCTAATGAAATCTGAAAAGGCTCGACCCACTGTGGATTACAGTAAGTTTCGTATCAGACGTAAAGCTGAACCTAATTTGACTCCACAATCTTCACAGAGCACTATCGCAACACCATGCATTTCAGGAATTTCAGTTGTTTCTTGTTCACCGCATTCTCCTGTTTTAACCGTTTCAACATTTTCTGTCAGTAATCGCAATGAACTTGCGGTCTCAGATGCTGTTAATTCCGGTCTACCAGTCTCTTGCACATCAAGTATATTACCGACATCCCCTATTCTGTCTAATGCTTCATCATTATCACTGATTAAACCAGCGGATACTTCGGAGTTCGTGAAAAGTATGCTATCTTTCTCCAAGCCCTCTCCCTCAACTCCTTGCAGCGATCCACCGAATAATTTTTTTGCAAACGAAGTACAACCTGCTGCTCGACATCCTGTCTCAGTTCCACAATGTACAAACTCCTTTCTTTCTCGCCTGCCTCGCTCATGTATTAGTAATAGCACGTCTGCAATGAGTCCTATACAATCATCCATTTCTAATTACAATAAGCAAACAATTTCAAATAACCGTATTCATCCCAACGCCTGTAATGTTGAACACAGTTCACTATCTGGAGCTCAACCTGTCGGTGTGGCTACCAGAATGCCATCTGTAAGGTTATCTTCTGGACCTGATGCTTTATCAAAAGTTGAAGATAATGAATTAATCACAAAGTGTACTACTAAGTTCAGCACAAAGAGAGAGAATTTGGATTATATAGAAAAGTACGAATCTGAGATTTTACCACAATCTCACACGAATACGTCGACCGACCTGAATACAGGTTTATCATCACTCATTACTGATAGTCAAAAAGGTACTGATGTATCCAGCAAAGTCTCTGCATATGCTGTTTCTCCTTTAACAGGATCAACTAATGGAGTTCCTTTGAAAACGAACCAGAAACCTGTAAATTCCAATTCAAAATCGTCGCCTCGGGATGATATTATCAGCAGTAATAAATGTAAATCAGCATCCCTTTCTAACTCAACGCCAACTAACACTAAAAAACTTCAGAAACATGATTCTTCAAGGTCTGTCTTAGATGATTTCGTGTTCCAAAATTCCTTAGGAGCTGTTTCATCTAAAGTTAGTCGTCCTAAAAAGGCTCAGGTTGATTCATCTTCTGTATTACCTTCAAAAAGAAAATGCTCTACAGCATCTGAATCCAAAGAAGGCTCTATCTCCGATGCCGATAAAAAAGTACCAGAGAATACTTCGGTACCAAAAGGTAAGGTTTCCGAGAAAATGTCCTGCAAAAATATATCTAAGAAATTACAGTCAACCACTGATGGTGCTCCACAAAAAGAGAGTGTTTCAAATTGCAAAGCTAAATCTGGTGGTGATGGCAATCGCCTAGCACCTGCTTCCAACAACCGTTCTATGCTCTCCTCAGAGAAGAAAATAGTTTCACCGTGTTCGAAGAAAAAGAAAAGCGTTCGAGATATTAAAAAGAAGATTATTGATAGTGAAGATTCTGATTGGGAGCCAAATGCAATTGAAGGTTCACACCCGCGTGATTTACTTGATGACGATTCACTATCTGAGTCTCGCTTTGAGTCAATGTATGATAAGATTAAACGTCGTGCTAACCAGAGTACAACAAAGTCGAGCGATTCACTGGTAAAAACAGATGTTTTGCAGCGTTTCTTAAAGGTGAGAGGTAAACAGTCTAAAAAGGATTCTCAAAAGTCTCCAGCTGATTCTGATACAGATGAATGTTTGAGCGATGGCTCGTCTAGTCACTCTGACTGCACTTCCATAACATTATCTAAACGTTCTGCGAAATCCAACTCCTCAACAAATGAAACTGTATTAAAACCTGTTAAACAAAAAGTTTCAACATCAAGTGGTGCAAAATCCTCACCCCTCCCCACTCTTTCACCAAAGCGGAAAAAATTGGCTTCTGAGTCTGATGTTTCAACTTCAAATGAATCTTCACAAAAAACTCGTGGTCGAAAAGGCAAAAAGTCTAACGTTTCTAACGTACCCAGAACGACTCAAGTTAGGCATCAACACAAAGATGAGCAACAGAAAACTAGCACTTCAGGTGGTCGATCAACTACTCGTCGTAAAAAATCATGTGCTCAAGAAGATACCTCTGCTCATGAAAGTGAAAGTGCTTCAGGCTGCACAACTTCAGCTGCGGCTTCGAAAGTTAAAAAACAGAAAGTAGTGCCAACTGAAAATAAGAAACGTCTCTCAGTGAAGAATACTCATCGTAGCTTGGTGCATCGTGTATTTGCTTCAACAGATTCCTCTTCACTTTCTTCTTCTGTGATGTCTGATTCTTCCGATGATGAAATTTCGAAATCGAATAGTCAGGTCTCTAAATCATCCATAAAAGAGAAAATAAATGACAAGGAAATGACTCAAGAGGAAAATGATTGTCAGTCTATGTTATCGAAGTCTCCATCATCACGTGTGAGTCGTTCGTGTAGTCCTGAAGATTTACGCGCAGATGCTGCTATTCGTCATACATTTGGAGCTTTTACCGCACCATTTTTAAGCCTTAAAAATGACCTGCCACACACCTCAGGCATTAAGCAAAATGTTCCTCAAACTGATATGGCCTTGAAATTTTCACCTAATTCGGAAGACTCAAGACCAACACCACCTACCCTTCCAATGACTGACTCTAGTTTTAGCGGTGATCAACAGTCTAATGGTGGGAATATTGCGAAGCGACAAACACGTGATCCTAGTGATTGGAATATATTTTCCTCACTTACTAAACAGTCCACACCGATAAAAGATGACAATATACATCAGAATTTATCTTCATCACCCATGCATATGATTGAGGGTGATAACACACCAGCAAATGTTGCAGGTGATACATCTTATGATACAGAAGACGAATTGCCTTCTCTAGAAAAGCATGATGAGGATGAAGTAAGCAACCCTTATGAGTCATCTATTTTACTGCATGAAAGCGATAGTTTTATTAATCGTGCTGAAAGCTTAAATGTCTATAACGATGACGATTTACCGCCTCCTGTAGTTTCAGAAGTTGATCATCAACTTAGTTATTCAGACGCTGCACCTGTATCAACTGCAACCGTTCCAGACATTATTGAGGAAGTCATTTACGATGGCTTAGAAGTGCCTGTTTCAGAAGAAGGACATCCGACAGCAAATGCATCTATGAAAAGCAACTCTTGTAAAAATTCACCAATTATTGACAAGGCTTCAAGTAATATTCCTCATAATTTGGTGGAAATAACCGCAAATGATGAATCAGAGCACCCTTCTTTTGACACAGTAGATATTCCCCATGCTGATGTTGGTAGTTTAACACAAAACCTTTCTTTAGATGGCACATCATTAGTCACTTCAACTGTTACGACTTCAGTAAACTCAGCGACTGTTCAGTCAGCTGTTTTCACTCCAGTGGCTGTATTGTCTGCGACTGAGCAAACTAAAGATTCGCAAGCTGTGTTAGTTACTATACCTACAACTGTCTCCACCAATCTGAATTCGCCAAAGTATGCATTGGTAACTGATGTGGAAACTTCAGTTTCATATTCTTGTTCATCACTATCACCTAGTATCAATTCAGTTTCTCAATCTCATGTTGCTGTTATATTGCCAACAACCAGCATGTCAGTTTCTAGGAATTCACCGTCCACTGTAGCTTCAGCTGTTTTAGACTCACATAACAGTGCAACATCTGTTTCGTCAGTTCCTATATCAGGAGACTCTTTTATGTCTCCATCTTCAGTCAGCAGTGTTAACTTAACCAATGGTCAGTTGCTATACTCTTATACAACCCAGACAGACCAAACGTTGACATATCATTCACTAACTACTGGAATCACTACATCTGCTTGTACTAATTCATCACTGGAAAATAGCATTTCTTCATCTTACCCATGTCTATCATCAACAGCTCAAGTAGGTAATTCTACTTTTGATCCAACTGACTTTACGTCATATGTCCAACGTGTAATTGAACGTGTAAAACAAGAGAAAGATGAAGAAATTATGCAGCAGAGAGAAAAGGTGAAACGTCCTAAAAGAAATACTTCTTTGACAGTTACTTCTGCCTTAACAATGTGTTCAACTACAAATGGCACCAGCACTGTTATTAGTGTCACCAGTCCTTGCATTTTTTCGCCAACAACAATAACTCTTCCTACTGTACCTGTTGTACCCTCGATACCAACAGCTGATGTCCCTAAATCCCAAAATATAGTTATTTCCGATGATAAAAATGTGATAGTGTCTATGTGTTCTGTAAATAATTCTACTACTCAAGACACTCATTCGAGTGGTATTAAGAGTATAATCAGTCCAAATCATCAACCTCATAGTGTTTTGGACTCACCAATTACAACAAGTGCACAGCAAATCACAGCAGATACTTATGCTGAACAGAATCTACTTAATTCTGGATGTAATACATTTGGCGATGATTCCCAGTCTCGAGATAAAGTCGATAACACTATTGAAGCTGTAGTAAATGGGGAATTCGATGAAAAGGAGTACGTGCTGAAGATATTAAAAGGAACGTTTATTCACAATGGTCATTGTCGTACTTTATCTGGTAGTGTTGGTTCTCCATCCAGTCAATCCGATATGCTCACATTAGTACCTGAAGATTCTTCAGTTAAGAACGAACATTATCAATCTAATGTTTCGGAATCTGTTTACGTGGGATCTCCTACCTCTGTGAGTTACATATTTTCTTACTGTTTAATATTGTAGAAGTAGGGAAATAACTTATTGACAATACTAATTAATTGAATGGGTAAAATAATTGTTTTATGTTGCGATCTAAATATATTTTGTATATAAACATTGATAGTGGGTACAATACTTTAACCCTGTTGTTTCATAGTATATTGGGTGTGATCAAACTTTAAACTCATGAGCACAATATTATCCACTAGCGTGCGTTTTTTATCTTTACCCTCTTATTGGATTTCATTTTCACTGTTACCAACCACTATATAGTCATTTTCCACTCAAGAAGCTGTTTAAATCTGAATATTACAAAAATTCATACAGTAGCGATGACGGTTGACATTAATTTTTAGAAAGAAGTCTGTATTATTTGCTACTGTTGTACTCATCAATAGTTATAGGCAGGAGGTTGTTTGTTGTGTTGAGTTACGCACCGTTCTGTTTTGTGAACAGCACTTCAATATGTTTCATCTTTTTTTTACATTTTCCAAACAGTTATCTGAATAACTGAATTTGTGAATTCATTTAAGAATGATCATTGTAGAGCAGTTTGAGCAAATTATCTGTAGGTTAAGTGCAAAAATATCGTAGATCATACTTGACTTTCAACCTAACGTTGACAAAATTAAACTTCGATAAACATGCAAAGGCTAACTAACTGAGTTATAACATAGAACAGCAGTTCAAGTTGCCACACTCCATGTAACATACAAAGGTAGAGAAAAGAGATTCGAAAGAACTATAACGACCACACAGATCTTTCCTAATCATCATTCACCTTCATCTTTTTTTCCTATCACTGTTAATACTGTTCCACAACTGGGTTCCCCCACCCTTCAGCTCTGCAACCATTAACAGCGACCTGAGCCGGGAAAACCCTAGTAATAGTCTCTTAAAACCCCATTGCCAACTTCATATTGGGCTTTATACCAAATCGGACAACACTTCTCACTAATCAGAATTGTGTCATAACATCTCAAGTCATCTTTGTGTGCTGTATTTCGGAGGCACCTACAAGATTTAAGTGTGGTTAGTCACTTAAGCATACCTGGTCAACATGGTGAATTTGAAAAATTTACCCTACGAGTGCTAGGTGATCCTTCGGCTAGACTGTCGTTTATGTGCTGTCCAGTTGAACGAATCCGTATGAAGAAGGCAAGACTGTGATATCCGTCCATATCTTATCATAATCTCAATTTGTACCGCAACAGACAGCAGTTCTGACAAAGTAAAAGATGAGTCCTATCCAAATCTGTCTGGTTTGTTGCTAAGGGCGAAACGCTAGTAAAGAGCCATTTCAGTTGCTCAAGTAGGGAAACTGTGCGCGTCAGAAGCGTTATTTGGCGAACTTATGGGCTGGCATATTGATGAACTGAAAACCGTGGTCGTCTTCTACAATTCTGTTCAGATAATCATCTGTTCCTAGTTAGCTATGATTCCAGACATAAGCAGAGACATTGCTTCACGTCACGTAGCTGTAGGCCATCGATGAAGTGTTGGTAGCAGACTGCCACTGATGGAACATATGCGTAGGCTCTGATCTAAAGAAGATGCTTCCAATGATATCATGAATCTATCTTTCACCTTTAGGTCTCTAATTCTCTCCGCACACTCAAAATTGTCATTTACTCTGTTTTGAAGGTTTCTGTGTAATGATTGTAAGAGCTGTGCCTTAATATTTCTCAGTTGAATGCTATAGTGAACTAGACATATCGAGGACTAGCCTAAATGACAAGCCGCTTTAATAAGTCGTAGACCCATATAACCTGGGTGTGACGGCACCGACAGGTCTTAGTGTTCTGTGTAAAAATTGGTTAAATGTAACTTTGTTACCTCAAATTGCTAATGACTGTTTTAATTACTTTCCGGTCTTTTCTGTTAAATCACCATTAGCTCCTTTGTGGATAAGATTTTATTTTGATGAATCACACAGTGTTGTACAGTAATATTTACTGATGACTTTTCGAGCATTGATTATTGCTCATAAGCATATCAAGTTACTCACAACTTTTCAACTTCATTTAAATGGTTCCACTATTTCTCATCTCTTGATCTGATTGGTAGTAATATTTTCCATATTTCTGGTATGAGTGGTGAGTCATTCCTATTGCACTTGTTGAGTGCAGATTCTATGAACAAAGATTCAGTAGTCAACCTCTCCCACCTACCTATTTTACTTATTATGATTATGAGCAATAATTTAGGCTCGAAACGTCATCAGCAAATATTACTGTACAACACTGTGTGATTTATCAAAATAAAGTCTTATCCATAATGGAGTTATACTCTACCATAGTGCCTAAGTTTTTTACTGAAATCATCGTTAATTTCTGAAATTTGAGGTGATCACAAAGTTATATCATCATTTTGTTGTAGTAATCGGATTCGTTCATGATAACAACTCCTGATCCTTCACCAGATTTAGAGATGACCAAATTCTCATTTGTTTTCAGTTTCTTTAAAGACTCTCTCTCTGATTTTTAGTTAAAATACCATTTCCATTCGCGAAAAATACCCATTAAGACATTGAAATAAGAACAAATTAGTTCAGCGAAGAGTCTCTTTTCGGCGAATTCATTCACTTAGCTGTACAGTCGCAAATATATACAATTCATTTTGTGTGTGTGTGTGTGTACATTAGGTTTGTCAAAACCAAAATAAGTTAGTGTGGGTTGTTGATTACATCATCAAAATAATAAAGAAATTAAAATGTGTGATTAATAATCAAAGTTGTAACTAAGTGGGGTGAAGATTGGTAAGATGAGTAGGGTTACGTAATATAGACATGTTTAGAAAGATTAGATGTTAGTGAAGGAGTATGGAGACAATTATGAAAATAAACTAGATAATAGGTGAAAAGATTGAATGGGTTAGTTACTAAAATTATTAGACGAAAATTGCAAAAAAAATTGATAACAAAATGTTGATGACAGATAAACTTGAAATTAAACCCACGGTAGTAGGAGGGGGTGGAGAAGTTTCTTCTGTGTGCATAAATCAGGCTTTTCTATCCAAATCGCTAAGACTTCGGCAATACAAAGTATACGGAAGCTTGTCGATTTTGGAAGGCTTCTTTTGACTTAATAGATGACTTTGAACGACTTCTCCTTACAAATCGAATGACCAGTGTTGAGTATATGCTCAATAATGGCGCTCCTTATTGCTCCGTTGTTACCCTTCCGTAGCCAGGCGGGATAGTGTTCTTGAATTCTTTTAGATAAACCTCGCATCGAACGACCTATATACCTCGTTCCGCAAGAGCAGGTGAATCGGTAGATACACAAGGAAGTGGTCAAATGCGATAGTTTATCTTTAGAGTAGTTGAAGAACAATGGCCTGGAGGAAAATGTCAGTCGTAGTGTGGCAGCGAAGAATGTCCTTCTGAGAGCAGTAGATATCCTCTTCTTCAAGGTGTATTAAGAACAGTAAGAACAGTCAGCATAAGTTGACTTAAATCTATTAGCCTTCTCATTTAATAATGGTACCAGGTCTTCAGCGTGTGCATAATGGTTTTCAAATTGGAATCGTATGTCCATTTCGGCTACTTTGTTGCAACTATCGCAAAGTTTAAGACCCAGAAACAAAACTTCTAAATCCGTCATATCAAGAACAATGCTAGAAAAACTGTGTACATGCTGTTACAAATTAGGTAGTACTCTCTTAAGTTTGATAAGAATCCTATGAGTAGTTTTGGTAGAGTGTTAGATGCTGATTGGCAGTTAAGACACAGTCATGAGTTTTTGAGTACACTATGATTACATTGTCTTTACTGAATGTGAAAGTTGAGAATTTCTCATAAAGAAGACTATAACGACTGAAAATATCAAATTGTATTCCTAATTACTGTGAACTATTGTCTGCTGAATAGCGGAATTAGTGTGCCTCTCATTTAATTTGAATGGAAAACATAACTGAATTGCAAACGTAAGCATACTTCAGCTGCTTCAGCAAAAATAATAGCAACAGATTCCAACTGAAAACTATCCGATAAAAGCTTTGGAATACATAGTGTTTCTAAATTTTACAAAACCAATTGGATAAATGACTATTTGTGAAACAATCGACTCAGAGAGACAAATCACTTCAAACCAAATCTCTTGAGTGGCTAGCCGAAATTCTGGTAAATAAACTGTACACACTAGGTTTCAGATTTATTTATTTATTTATTGAATAAACAAACATAAGCACTACGCTGTTTTTCATTTTTGGTTGCAATTGGGGTTGATTTTTCTGATCACTTGACGCTTTTTTTTTACTGACTGAGCTATATTCCCGTTATAATACTTACTGTTTCTGTTTCAGACGTTTAACGTTGGTGTTCACTCCTCCTGCCCTGTACCTGTTAGCAAAGCGGTTCCAGATCCCATAAGTTCAAATAATCAGTCTTCAGGAGTTTTGACACCTATGCATGTATTGACTTTTGTTGCTGCTAATGCTTCAACATCCTCATCGCAACATACATCCACATCATCTGTTACAAGTCCGGATGCAGCTACTCAAGCAGTATCAAACTTAACTACTTCTACCCATCAACTACCACCTACTTTAAGCTCCTCTAATTCTGGCTTGGATAAAGTTACCGATGTAACTCCACTTGCATCTTATACAGCCATTCCTAATTCCACTGACTCATCTAATAATTCAACAAATACTCGAATCGGAGAGTTTGCAGCTCGTCTGGCCAACAACCCCTTCACTACGTATTTCTATTCATTACTAACTCAGAAGCAGTTAAGTCCATCATCCCTTAGTCCATCTATTTCATCTAGTGATCCTCTCTGTCAACGTCCAAATGATAACATTACATTGCCGTTATGTTCAACCACAACACTTAAGAACTTGTCCATTCCGAATGCATCTGTCAGTGGTGATACAGCAGATTACCTGGCAGCAGCTACTATGGCTGCTATGGCCGCTATGGCTGGTCCAACACAAGATATGACATCATTTGGTCAAACTGGATCATCTTCATCTTATTCTGATTCCAAAGCTGCATTGTCCGAGAGTCAATTTTTGCAAATGTGGTCAACTGCACACTTACGAATACAGGTGAACATTTTATCTTTATGTTCTAATGAAACGAATCTTATCTCAGTGGTTTTATTATATTATAAGCATTACAATTTTATGTCATCCAGTTAAGTGATTAAATGTTCCCTAGACCAACATATAGTATGTCAACGGTAGAAGATGAGAGAATTGGTAGCGAACTTTTTCATTTAGGGGAAAACACATTTATGCATTATTAGCCACATTAAAGTTCGTCTAGTTCAGAGGGGAATAAATTGTTCTGATTGGTTGGCAATTGACCAAAAGTTAAACAATTTGTCCAATGAAGTTATTTCATGTCCACAACGTAAACTAAATCCAGATTTGAGAACTAAACGCTTCAATCTCTTGCCTGAGGATAAAATACCTGTTTTTTCCTTCGTGTTAATTCCATAGTGTAGTATTAAAATTATGTAAGTCTAAGGATTCAGCTAATGATCAACGAATCATAGGTATTCACCTTTTAAGTGGAAGTTCTCGGATCAGCAGATTTTAGTATTAGTCTAAAAAACGGTTAATTTGGTTCGTATCGTAATGTGTGACTGAATTGCATAAATTATAATGTTAGAAAATTGTGTACATTTTTCATTTCATTTACTTTATATAAATTTGAACCTATGCAGACTTACATTGAACTAGATTGTTTAGGAAAACTTGATCATTAAGGTCTTATGATTGATTTGATTTACAAAGCCGAATGACTAAGTACTTCGATCTGGGAAATCAAATAATCTCAGTATATATGCGATCAATAAAATCTCGACAGAAATTACATGATAATGTAGTACAGCAACTTCTTCTCTAGACAAAAACGTCTACAGTAAAGAATGCGGTTGGAATAAAGCACAGAGTTCATAACATGTCAATAATTCCTGCATAAAGGTGTGTGATTGCTGGTTTGGGCACTGACAAAATATCATTTTCTTCAGCTAACTGAGAAATATAGTGCTTGCTGGTCAGTATGCACTGACTTTTAAAATCCTTTAGTCTATTAGTTGAAAACTAACTTGGTGGCAGCTTAACTTGCATTTGTACCGAAAGTGTGCTATGAATTGTCTCTGATTTTCGGTTTTTTATACGGTTTCTATCTTCTAATAGCTTTGAAACATCTAAAAATATGAGCATATTGCCATGTCACTAATAAAAAACGTACAAAATTACAAGTTCTTTTTTTGCAGAGGTTTGATTAGTTCCAATTTTGACCGAGAGAACCAGTGGAAACCAGGGTGTATTGGACAATTGTTTCTTCTCTTTTTGGAACTCTTCAGTAGAGATTGAATCCAACAAATCCCCGTAAATTAACACTTAGATATTAGTACAATACTCACTAGTGACTGACTACATGATGAAGTTGCCTGGCGTTCTACTGGGAAGTCGTGACCTTGGGGGTCAACCAGGTTCGTTGTGATATCGGATACTCACCTTTTATGACACTAACTGAAGACTTCACTTTATATAGCGGATAGGGAAAAGTTAGAAATGATTGGTCGTTGGATTTCGCTACGGTGGCTGCATGTTCGACGGATTCGTCTTACAACCTGAAAGTCCTGTGTTCGATGTCCGGAAATGTGTCATGGGTGTGTACTGCTGGAAAATCTCAGACAAGGAAGAAACAACTGTCCAGTACCTCTGTGCTAGTTTTCAATGGTTCTTTAACTGAAGTCAATTCTTGATCAAAATCGAAGTACAAAATTATCATTGTATTTAATCTTACACTATATATTGTTACCTAAATAAGCGTAAGGTACATTTTTCCCCGTTATCATGCACCCTTTCATGTGATGATTAGTAGTTTTATAAGTGATATTGTCTGGTGAGGATGGTGTGGCACACTTCCTATAACTGTCTGATCAAATCCAAAATCACCTAATCTGATGCAAATGAATTAGGATGATCTGAAGCTTTGGCTATCGAAACAGAAAAGCCAGATCTCTGTGTACTGCTGCTGCTGAGTTCAACATAGAACTTGGCACCGAGGTGCAGCAGTTCGAGTTGCCACGTTCCAAAGAACACTCAAAGGTAGACAGGAAAATGTGAGAAGAGAATCAATAGATCTCTGTGTACAGAAAAAGTTCGTTCAACCACTCCAACTTTCATGGTCCTAATCCCTCTATGCTAAAGTATGGTAATCCCCAATCATATTTTAGCTCTACCAATTTTTCGTTTTTTCATTTTTGTCTATTCAATTTGTATACTCTTCCTTATTACGTCAATTGTTACTATTACTACTCTCACTTTTAATTGTCCCCGGTATTATTTCACTTGGTTCCACTTGTCATTCTAAATCACTTCCTTTTTACAACATTATATTACATTATTGTTTAATTCTTAAAGATAGAAGAAATTCTCTTCAATATCTGACTGGACATTGAATTAATGGATTGGTAAAATGAAATGTGTTGTTTTGGCAGCAGTAGAACGATTTGCTCTTATAAGTAGACGAATAATGTTTTCTGTTACTGGATGTTTTCACAAAAAATTCTCAGGGGGGACTATTTTATTTCCTACAGATTAGTGAAATGTCAATGCAAACAGTTTCTTTATAGAGGAACTTAGTACCTAGGTCTGTGAATAAATACATTTTCACATTGTATTCTAAAGAAATATATTTATGACCTTCTTTCTGTTTCTTTTCTTGTAGGAGTATCCAGTTATTTGGCGAGGACGTCTTTCTTTAAAAAATGAAGAAGTTTTTGTCAATATGCATTATATTAGTGGCAATCAAGATTTACTAAAAAGTTGTATGGGTGTTATAGCTGAACAACAAGTGGCTTTAAGTAATATTACTACCAGTGCTAGTTCTATGGGATCGTGTTTAACAACTGATACTCCTGGATCTCTACATCAACCTTTAAAGATAGTACAACGAATGCGTTTAGAAGCTTCCCAACTGGAAGGTGTACAAAGGAAATTACGTCAACTAAATGACTTTTGTATGTGCCTTACTCTAGCAACTGTTCCACCGTTAACTCCAGAAGCCTCTGTTAGTAGTGAACAAATTCGAATGAATAGAATACTGTGTGATGGATTTATTAAATATATGCTTGACAAATGTGCTGCTGGCATAATCAATGTTTGTCATCCCTGCACGCAACAAGTAAGTGTTGTATGAAAATGGTTTTTTTCCTTATTATTGTTTAATCTTCAAGAGTGGGAGTGGAATGATCCTCTCTTTAGTAATATTAACTGTTCATATTGTGTGTAGTAAAATGAAACTTATAAACTATATGGCTACTGAAGGATAGGAACAGATGCGCAGAGTAGAAAGTCTTCTTTATCGCTCTGGTTAGACGTTGTGATAGAATCTCCACAAGAGTATCTCTCCTGAATTGAAGACGTAAAAATAATGACTTTTCCTGCACCATTGCCAGTTTATGTTTACGACTATGATGACCTATGTTGGCTTTTATAAACTTCTCTGGATATCCGTTTTCGCTTAGCATGTCTCAGATGGCCTGGAGTTCTTTCTCTACACAATCTTCGGAGCATATCGACCTCGCTCTAAAAGCTAATCACCTAAACAGATTACGTTTGTATTTCATATGGTTCTCTTAATGAAACCATACTCTCTTCTCGTTAGTGAGACATCGAGAAAGTACAGAGAGTCGTTGTATTCTCCTTCATAGGTGAAATGGACCGCTGGATCAGCACTATTGAAGTGGATCAAAATCAAATCACTATGTAGACCTTCATCATACACTACAAAGGTGTTATCCATGTACCGACAACACAGTTCCATCTGAGCTATTTCATCTTTCATGGACTATTTTCTAGTTTTGCTATAAAAATATGTTCGCAAATATAGGAACAAGTGGTGATCCCATGGCCACTTCATCAATCTATGAAATACAAACGTAATCTGTTTAGGTGGTTAGCATTTAGAGCGGGCTCGATTTGCTCCGAAGATTGTGTAGAGAAAGAACTCCGGGTCAACTGAGATATTCTAAGCGAAAACGGATATCCAGAGAAGTTTATAAAAGCCAACATAGGTCATCATAGTCGTAAACATGAACTGACAATAATGGTGCAGGAAAAGTCATTATTTTTACGACTACAATTCAGGAGAGATACCTTTTTGGGATTATAAATTGGTTTGAAAATATGATCATTATATTAAACTTATCCATGAATTACGTATATGTACACAACAGTAGGAAAACTAATTTCTGTGTTATTGACTTGCTACCAGGGAATAATCTCGTTGACTTAGAATATGCAGATGATATAGTCCTTCTAGGTGAGGACGCTGACAAAATGCAGAGTCTTCTGAACACCTTGAGCTGCAATCTACGAATGTTTGGCATGCGATTCGCTCCCGCCTACGTTCTATCTCCTGTGTGAAGTGGTGTAATAAGGTGAACAATACAGAGGTTAGGCATGGTCGAGTGCTAGGTAAGGAGGGGAAATCAGTCGACGAGACTGTGAAATTACATCGACTGAGATGGTTAAGACATGTGTCACGTATGTCTAGTCATCGCCTTCCTCGACGGGCAATGTTAGCTGGCTGACATAGGGTCAGGCTGGAAAAGAGCTAGCGGTGGTCAAACGAAAACATGGCACCAGTCAATGAAATCCACAACAGTTAGTTCAAGCCACGTAGGAAGGTGTAGACTTCCTGGTTGAGGTCCTCGGGACGGTAAAAACCAATGGTTGGAAACAATTGGTGATATGGCTCAAAATCGTTCTCACTGATGGCTGGCACAGATGCATCCACTCCTTGTGACTTATGATTTCCAATGAAACTATATTGTTCTTCGTTATTACTATTCCTTTGTCTCACACTTCTGTTTACTGTCTCTATTATGCGTTTCTTCTACTTTCTTCTCTTGCTTTGTGTGCTACAAGGAGTGTGGCGACTTGAACTGCTGCACATCGGTGCAAAGTTCTATGTCCAAAGCAGACAGACAGAATTTCTGTGTTAAGTGTCAAAGGATATCAGTGTAAAGACAAATTTATATTATGCAGAAACTGGTTTTATCCTTCACTCTGAAAAACTGGAATTTTCCGAGGGGTTTTTGCTCGCTTAAATTAGTCAATGTTTGTTTTGAATCCACTTTACTGTAATGAAGGCTCCTGCTTTTTATCATGGCTTTTTAAAAATCTACTATCTCAATGGGTGAAATGTAATGGTAATGAGCTGCTGATAACTTCGACTAACTAACTGGATGATTTTTTCAGTTGCACTAGGACCTTTGGTTTACCCTATTTATCCTTATTGACATGCAGATGCATACATTGTATATTCTCTTAATTTTAATCACGTTTTCATTGTCCTACTATTAGGATCCACTTTGTTATAACAGTGGTTGCTGTTTTGTGTACTTTACTGTATTTTCATTTGAACTTGGTTACCTGAAACAGATTTTTATGTACCAGGGTATGAGCTGCACTTATCGCATGAAGAGTTAGTGATACTATTTAGTTGCTTAGTTTGAATTAGGTGGAATGTACTCAAAGCCGCAATCCATTTACTAAAAACGGAACGCTTAAGGTAATGAGCGACATCTTTCCTATGCTATACTATGTTGCCTTGTTTATCAACCAAGCCATATCAAGACTTAGTTGTCGAAAGACACTTGACCTAGTTTTCCTGCTTGTTGGCGCTCATTAGTAAAGTTATGCGCAATCCCAGTGGTTCAGGTTGAAGCATATGGAGCGGGTCTCGAACCCATTTCCCGCTGGCTGCAAACCTGGTTCTTAAGCTAACTAGGACACATTAGCTAATTTGATTCGTAAGGTTACTATTTATCCGTGATAAACAAGCGGTATTAAAAGTATTGTAGAGCAGATTATTCATTTAAATACTTATTTGCGTTAGTAAGAAAAACAGAAATTTATTGAGTGTCGCGAAACACCCCGTTTAAACTTCAGTTTAAGCTTTTCAGTCTTATTTATATTGCGTGAAAAGGGCAATAAGTGGCACTAAAAATTGCCTGGTCACATGCACTAAGAATTAACAAACATGTAGGAGGAAGTCTTACAAATAATCTTTCCCCTATCCTTGTAACTATTTTTTCTGTTTTCGTTAGTTCAATCGTAACCTGGTTTTCTTACGCAGTTATAAACTAATTTTTTTCACCTTTTCTTCCTAATTATCATAATCTTACGAATAATGATTGATGAAGTAATTTCTACAAATTAACTGGTCTTGATTTTTGTAATTATCTTCACCTTTTCTTCACTTCCGAATTAATATTTCTTATTGTTAAGTGGTAGTAGGGTTGAAGCTGTTTTAAGGATAGAGGTTATCTTACGAAAGGAATTTATTTTAGGAATCACAAAATAGGTCAAGGACTTTTGAAAAATTAGAAAGAATGCAACGCTAATGTAGTGCAGGAGAAATAGAGGTGAAGTGGAATGAAATTAACGAGATAAAATATTATTAGGATTCAAGGTAGACAAAGATATTGGTTTTTCAATACGGAGTTAAGTTGTCTACTGGATAGTGGTTGACCCATGAGGCCTTGGAGAACTCATTCACATCATGGAACGTTATCAGCTTTACAACTGTGCGTGAAATAGTAAATACACATACAGGTTGACATACATTGTTGAATCATCCTCTGGACATGGAAAGTGCATTTGATCTATTAAGACGACTGTTCAATATCTGAGTAATAACTTTAACTTTGAATTCCAAATTCATAATGAATGTTTCATCATGAGCTGACATTGGTTGGAGAACCATTGGAAAACCTGCAGGGAGTACTGGACAGCTGTTTCGTCCTAGTTTGAATTCTAGTCGGAAGTCGTGAATTGGCAGAAGTTGGAATTTATGGGCTGGCCATTGGATCGGGTCCCAGTGGCTTAATCGTCTACGAGCTCGCCTTGTAACCAGAAGCTCCTGGGTTCGAACCCCGCTGGGTGCATACTGATGAAGAGTCTCAAACTACGACGAAACAGCTGTCCAGTACTCCCATGTGGTCTTCCAATGGTTTTCTAACCAATGTCAGCTCATGATGAAATCCTGTAACCAATCAATCAAATCCCTACAAACCAATACTTAAATATCATTATGAATGTCTTCGGCAATGTGTGATTTGTTAATGAAACTGCTGAGGGTATCTATTATTTGACAGTGTTGTTCGAATTCTTTGTCGGTTATATCGTAAGGACATATCTTTAGGACTCTGGAATATGAAGACGTATCTAAATGTTGACTATAATTTGTCATTTGAAGAGTTCAACGGTTGAACAGGTTTTATCACAAATTACAAAACTGGCACTGATAAATACGACTGAAGACTGGAAATCATCGCCTTGATATGATTATGAGAAGTAAATTGTGCTTGGAGAACATCATTGGTTAAAAAATATTAGTGTATCACTGTGTATTATTATCAAGCTAAATTAGTCTATGAAGGGATTATACTCCACCAAAATGCTCAAGTTTTATTCGTGTATCATCTTTCTCAGTGAACTATCCTCTATACCCAGGATTTATTCTTGTTTGTTCAGATTAGTAGGGTGTATCTCTTATCCAAGTTACTCAACAAGTTAACTATTTTTAGTTGGATATTTTTCTACAATAGAGAATAGTAGAAATAGACTTCAAGAAAAAGAAAAATCCAAAGATGTGGTTTGTTTCTGACAATATTTTCTCAAGAGTTGCGCAGCTACATTTTTAAAATATAAGCGCCTTTTGCTCCTTATGGACAAAATATTTCGTATCATTTCAAATTTTTTTTTTTAATACAATAATGATAGCCTCATTTTAGATTTAGCATCACATATCTTTATTTCCTTCATCTCTTCTTCTTTCCTCATAAGATTTATTCTATGACTTCTATATTGCTTCCACTCCTTTGTCTCACTTTTCTTACTTTCTTTTGGCGTCTAGTTATTAAAATAATTAGTCCCTTTGATAAATTTGAATAAGGCATTTAGAAGACAAATTTCGCGAGATGATATCATCATTTTGTAGTTTCTTTACAACCGTTTTACAACTAACATGGTTAACAATAATAAAATTTAAAAAAAATGCATGACAATTACTCAGTTATATAAAAAACAAAAGTACATACTAATGACCAATCATATTTAAATAGGTCAAGTAGTCCATGCTAGGCGAACGTTGAAGTCTATTGTTTTTTGTACACAAAGTTTAGACTGTAAATGATGATTAATCCAAAGTGCTTCTATCACCTTGAATAACCTTGAATTAGTTATGTGAAATAGTTGTGAAACAATCATTAATATTGATTTTGTAACTTAACATTAATAAGTGCTTTGCAATGGATGATGTTGGATTTCTATTCAGATTAATTGCATTGGGATTTTCTATGTGTCTTAATAACCATTTTGGAACATGTTCTTTTCGACGACATTGGAACATTCTATTGGTTCTACCTAGTTATTAGATTTGAAAACTTGAACTCGCTTGATTATCTATTTAATTGTAAATATCTGTCCATTTTATTGATTCTTCGTGTATAATGTAATAGTATCCATTCCTGTATTGTTTTTATAAGCCAACTTAACAAAATTTATTGTTTCCCCTCGAACTGTGTAATTTGCAAAGCGCAGATTTAATTTTTGCAAATTATGAATTTGATTTAGTGTGTTATCATTTCGCTGTGAAGTAGCTAGCAAGAAATTGAGTGGTGTAAACTAATTCGGTCCTTTTAGCTAAGTCCAACTGGGTACACCACTGATGACTTCGGCCTGAAACGAGCAAAACAACCGTCCAGTGTTTAGATCGCTTCGATCTAGCAGGCTGACAAGCCATAACTGGTTGATGTTAGTGGTGTATACAACTCATCTCAGTCAATCAGTAGTAGCCATAGAGTTCTGCACATTCATGCTTGCTTTCTTGATTAACCTTTATGATATCGAGTAGATCATATGCATTGTGATCTGAGTAATTTTGATTTCCAGAGTAGACTGTAGTGAAAATTCACCCTATCGGATTGTTTAAATTGCAGTAGGTGGGTGGAATGCAACTACTCACCTCAATCAGTCAGTAGTATGTGGTTTTACGCAAGTATACAAACCATTTTGTCATTAAGGTGTAAAAAATGACGAGAGTTAAATGTGTTTGAATAACTCTTCAGAATCATATTACCGAAACCAAATTATTTTGCCGTAGCTTTCCTTTACAAGGCGGATAAATATTTTAATGTCGGCTGATAATAGATATCCGGATCTTGATAGTTTTTGTACACCTTGCCGCTCTTGGTTTACTTAAACTTATATTATTCAAAATTCCCTATCTGTTGTTTCACTGCTTGAGAAATAAACTTATTTGATGACATCGATTCCAGGACTATCCTCCTTTGAATGACATCAGACAGATAAAATATCTTACTACTATTTTCTATGCTGAAAGAGGATTTTTCTTCTATGTCGATTCTTGCTTTTTTATTTCATAGTCGTTTTCCTTCACTCAAGGTTGTTATATGATATTTGAATTCGTGAAACATTACTTCTAAAAACCACTTGATCCAATCAAGAAGTTTTGCTCTTTCTTCCAACAATGTATATCTAAGTTCGAGAGATTAATATTTTACAGATATCTCTCCCTTTTCTCCTTAATATGACTGCAAGTGATTGTCGTCAAAGCGTTTGAGAGGGAAGTGGGCGCTTATTATCTATTTATTGTGGAATAATTCGCATTTTAAATCTGTTTCCTTTGATAGTAGGTATTTACAGCTCATCCAGTTAGTGTTCTCATAGTTTCTTTTGGCATTCCTAATTTGGGGTTTCAGATGTAGTCTTCTGTCGAAATGAGGAAGTTTTAAACAATCGTGTTATGTTGTTGAGTGTTGGTTAATCGATGTTGGTCATGTACATGACAGTACAATGTTTACTGAGTCGTATTTCATTATTTTCCGTCCTGTAACTGAAATGATGAGTAGTGTGTTCGCTTTTCATACTAACACTGGTTGTGTTACATTAAAGATTGAAACTTGATTGTATCCTGGTTTTTATGGATGTATTAGATCAGTTTGTTTTCATGAATGTAAACACTCACCAATTATTACTGTTATTATTAATAATATTTCTTCCTTTTTTTTCTTTTCTAGAACTTGTACGTTATTCATATATTTCCTCCCTGTGACTTTTCACGTTGCCAATTACAAGTATGCGCTCCTGCTCTTTCTCATACTCTAATGGAAAATTCAATCCCCCATGTACTAACTGTGATCACAACAGTATAAAACAAGATGCATTTACTACTTCACAATCTGTTACAAAGATTTATTTATCCGTCAATTATAACGTGTCAAATGCTGGAGGATCACAAGTACTGGTTGAATTCCCTTCATAAAAGTTGGCTGACTAATCAATGAAGATCTCAGTTAGTGCCTGTCTATCAAAATGTATTGTATATTTTTTTCTCAAACTTTACTGTTGGTTACACAAGTAATCTTGAAACAAATATTTAACTAGAAGTATGTACTCCTTCTCGCCTCCCTTCTCCGTATTATTACATACGGTGAGAAATGTCTTCATTGCACCAACCTCTTCCGCAGTAATCCTCAATGCTAATTTTTCGTCGAAAAATGGATTGGGCTTTTTTTCTATTTCACTCGTCCACCCAAAGTTTTGTGCACTAACTGTGATGATTACCTTACTTTTATTCCAACTTACTTGTAATACCTGGTAGAGTTGGATTTTTATCACTATTTGTATATAGAATGCGTGTGTGAGTGAGTGTGTGTGACCCCTATCCCTTCACCTTAATTGAGGCAGCTATATTTACTGAATATGTGTATATTATTACATAATGTGTATATAAGTATACTTTTCGTATTATTGACATGTTTTTAAATGCACAGTTTACTAATGTATATGTACATATATATATATGTGTGTATGTGTGTATTTACCTGTTTATGTTCAATGGCATGACTAGTCAGATTGTTTATAAAAATGATACACTTTTTTTCGGAGGAAATTGTTTTATCTTATTGCTTTCCACTCTTTTTTTTCTTCTCAAAAAAAGAAGCAGTTATAACCAGAATTGAAATGGCTTACTCTGATTGCTTACTTACTTACTTACTAAGCACAGTTACTATTCATGCCTTTGCAATTCTTCTAATGGGTGTTATGTCAATACGAAATTTCACGTCATTTCATTGTACAAAGTTTGAAAAGATATACATATAGTTGTTATGAATTAAGTTTTTGTACAGAGAAATCATACACTAAATATTATTACGTCACTACCATAGACTACTATTATTATTATTATCATGAGTGTAAATATTTAATAATTGTTACAGTGTGTGCCAAGCGAATCGTACACTTTTGTGTAGGGAAACTACTTTTAGGACAGTTTATATACTGATTTGAACTGTACCTCATTCGTCTAGGTGGGGTCGGCCTTCAACCGGTGAGTCATGAGCTCGAACCTCACTCCACTTATACGAGGTTTGGACAGCCGGGTAGTATAACAGAGAGTTACTGGCTGCTGGACTAGAATGCGCCTCCAGACACGACACTATAACCATTTGATGACTTGAAAATGTCCTCCACCACCTTCAGGTGGATACAAAAGTTAAGCTGAGAAAAGCAGCGACGACCGAAAACAACCGCGATAATGTTTATCAGACAAAATGCATTGTATATATTTTTGGAAAAACTCAGGAATTTAAGCCATAAATAAATAAACAAATCTGATTGTCTGTATGACATTGCAATCCCTCTGAAAATGCAGGCATGGATAGACGAATCAAAAACTGTCGAATCAAGTTACCATATCAGTGTATGTATGAATCATGATTTCACAGCTAACAACAAAGCTTGTCCGTCCAAACACTTCCCTTTTTTGGTTACAGGATTTCATCATGAGCTGACATCAGTTAGAGAACCATTGGACAGTCTGGGAGTACTGGACAGCTGTTTCGTCCCAGTTTGCGACTCTCCATCAGTATGCACCCACCAACACGGTTCGAACCCAGGACCTTCTGGTTACAAGGCGAGCTCGTATACCATTAAGCCACTGGGACCCGATCCAACGGCCTATGAATTGTAACTTCTGCCAATTCACGATATAGCGCGACCGCTAGCCAATGTCTTCAGCGAGTACTTTTCCTCACACCCGACCTGCTGCACCCTACTTGTCACGACTTCCCATTGGAACCCCAGGTAACTACCTACCTGAGTAGGGCCAGTAGCCAGTGAGCATCTCATCGATATTCAAGTGTTGGTTTGTAGGGATTTGGTTGATTGGTTACATGATTTCATCATGAGCTGACATTGGTTAGAGAACCATTGGAAAACCTGCAGGGAGTACTGGACAGTTGTTTCGTCCTAGTTTGGGACTCTTCAATTGGAGGACCACCGAAAGATACTTTGTAGTTCTTTGTACTCTTTGTCTATGACACCTTTCTCACGAAATAATGTGAGATAATTTCTTGGTAACTGTAGAACAATGTAAGCATCGCAACGATTCCTTGGCCTCATTTCTATCTTCTCCATAGATGTTTCATCAATACTGAATAGAACTGTAGCTACAGCTGCAACTTAATAGTAAAATAGTTATCTGCAGTATATCATATGACGCAATGCTGTTCTATCTGAAGAATGCACTAATCCCTTATAGGTATTTTTCCTCCGTCATTGAGAGAGGAGCAACAGTAGGTTGAAGGTTAATTAAAAATGTACGTGAATATGTATATTTGACAACCCATGGGCATAAGTGAATAGTTGAAACAAAGAGAAATGGAGAAAATTTTATGCATTGTGTTGGATGGAAATTCTGCTAGCCCCCGGGGATTCAAGCAGGCTGCCGTATAGACACTGTCTGCATTTAATGCTTTATTTTCTTTTGACGAAGCTTTTATGAGACAGATTCTAATACTGCATTAAGAGTAAATTTCACACATTTTTCGGGCTTCGTGGAACTTTCCTTGGCAAATAAAATAAGCGTGTTTGTATAGAGAGTGTTCTTGTTTTCCTATGAGGTAAGAGAAACTGGATTGAAAATCTCTTGTCTTGAAGTGATCATATTTTCTGGTTTTGAGTAGATAGTGTCATCAAAAGGATTGGAATCTAGATTTTCAATCTGATTTTTAACATCAGTTTGCATTGGTTTTATTGTAACCGAAGTGTATAAATAATGCATCAACTGATAAGTTGTTTTGTACTTCTGTGACTGACTGATGGACAACAGAATGAATAATCCCTGTATCGGGATGACTAGATAACAGCAAAGATAAGGTGTGGCTTATTGCCGCAACTGCATGGAATTGCAGTAAGTGAGTGTTGAGTAACAATTCACCGTTTTTCTAAAGATTCGATTCGTTTTACTTTTGAGGAGTAGGAATAGAAATTGTCACCTGTACCATACTTAAAATTCTGTACTCTATCGAAAAGTAATCTTCAGAATAAGTTTGAATATGAATTCATATTATAAGATGCTTAATTAAAGGTATTATTCAGGTAGACACAGGGAATGAACTCAGATATGTACTCATAATGATTCAGGAACACACTTTAAAGCCTATTGTTAATTTTCAAGTATTGGTTTTGTAGGGATTTTATTTGATTGCATGGAGGATTTCATCATGAGCTGACATCAGTTAGAGAACCACCTGGGAGTACTGGACAGCTGTTTCGTCCTAGTTTGGGACTCTTCATCAGCACGCACCCACTGGGTTTCGAACCCAGGACCTTCTGGTTACAAGGCGAGATAGCTCGTAGACCATTGAGCCACTGGAACTCGATCCAGTGGTCCTTGAATTCTAACTTCTACCTATTCACAACATAGCGCGGCCATTTCGCAATGTGACCAGTAGGGTACAGCAGTAACTCATCGAAGAAGACATTGCGAAATGGTCGTGAATTGGCAGAAGTTAGAATTCAAGGACTATTGTTAATTGTTTAATTCGATGAACTGTAAGAAACTCTAGGTTACTTCTTTCACTTATCTAAGCAGTAGCATTTCAACTAGAAGCGGCACGGGTGACGATGTCCAGACCAGAATCGGAAAGGCAAGACAGGCCTTCATCACTCTGAAATCAGTCTAGAAATCTTCTGCACTCAGTATAAGTGTAACGAGAGAAGGCAAGAGTCAGGCAACAGATCATTTATTAAGGAAATCAACGCCTATTTATATATTTTCATGTACATTACTATGGATATTTAAGCAAACAAACACAGTCTTCCGATTGGTTGTTTCTCACATAAAGTTAATCTTTCATCTATTTGTGACTGTTTCTTGAATGTTAAATCCTCTATATGTTAACTGCATCCGGCTACGCAAAGTCTGCTGTGGTCGGTTTTGAATCAATCTTTGTTCACATTTTCTCATGACAAATCTTGGGAACGTAAATATTGACGCAAATTACTGTCTACCAATTTGGCTAGTAGACAGCTCTCACCACATAAGCAGCAAGATTCAGATTTTCTACACCAATTTTAATTCAGTTCTTCTCTATGGGTCAGAAACTTGATGGGCGGGTCACGAAAAGCATTCCCAACAGGTTGCAGACTTTTATCAACAACTGCATTCGCTCCACATTGAAGTTCAAATGAACAGAAAGAATTAGCAACACAAAACAGTCAAGAACCTATTGCTCAACAAATATGTGGAAGAAAATGGGGATGTAGATATGATGAAGAAGATTTGTAGCTCAGGTGGATGATTTTGATGTGGCTGTGTTCTCTGACCTGGATGGTTAATTTGCGAAGCTTTCATCGCCCTACTAGGCGACATCTTCAGCGCATACTTCAATTTGTAGTGAGCTTTTAGATTTCTCCACGAGTTTATTAATCATCTCTCCTGGTGACCTTGGGCGTGATTGGTTGTTTTTGTGTGTTTTCACACCTTGTAGGCTACTTGTATTGGAACTGATTGTTTCTTCGACTCGAACTTTGATCCTTTGTGTGTGTGAGGTTTTTGTTTCTTATCGGTTGATAAATTTTGTTTATCTCGATGTGTCTGTTGATTGATGATTCACTGGAATGCCAAGCTTCTAAAAATTCTCTAGCATTCTTGTTGTTTCCTCTGTCTAATATTTGAACGTTGTCCCAGTCGAATTGATGTCCGTGGTTGTCTGTATGCAGCGATATGAGGGAGTGGATATCATGTCTTTTGACAGCTAGCTTATGTTCGTGGATACGAAGACGAAGGGGACGTCCACTTTGGCCAATGTAGTGTTTTTCGCAGTTGTTACAATTTATTTTGTAGATGATGTTGGTTTTATCTTCCTTCGCTGTTGAGTCTTTTGGTTGACATAGAATTGAGTGAAGTGACTTTGTTGGTTTGTGTACGACGTCAATTCCTAAAGGTTTGAAGAGTCTTGTAGTGATTTCTGAGATGTCCTTTATATATGGTAAGGCGATTTTCTTTGTGCTTTCCTTGGGAGCTTTTGGTTTGATAGGTTGGCTTGGGGGTATATATCTTTTGATGAAGTTCCGTGGATATCCATTCTTTTGGAAGACGTCCATGAGATATCTTTCTTCAATTTTCCTTAAGTTGGGAGTGCTGCAATGAGTCCTGGCCCTCTTGAATAGTGTTTGTACGCAATTCCTTTTGTGTGTTATTGGATTGTTGCTGTTGTAATTCAGTATTTGATCTGTGTGGGTTGATTTTCTATAAACTTGAGTTTCTAATTCCCCTGTGGTTGTTCGCTTGACTAAGACGTCTAAAAATGGGATTTTGTTCTCGGATTCTTCTTCTCTTGTGAATTTGATGTCGTTGAAGACGTTGTTTATTAAGTTGTGAGTTTTATCTAACTGGTTTCTTTTGATTATTTCAAATGTGTCGTCTAAGTAACGTATCCAAATCTTGGGTTTGATCTTTGGTGGAATTATGTTTTCGAGCCTTTGGCATAACTGCTGCTGCAATCAAACCTGATATTGACGATCCCATGGGTGTTCCTTTGACTTGTTGATATATTTGGCCGTTGAATTGGAAGTACGTTGTTAGGCATAGGTTTATACATTCCATCCAGCATGTGTGTTGCATTTTTGATCTTCTCCATCATATCGAAATCTTACGAGCGGAACACGCTTCTCTCTGTTCGAAAGGGGGAAGATTTCGCCAAAAGGCAAGGATCCACCAGAGAACAATTATTCTTTCTCCATGAGTGCCTTCGTTATCAAATCCTACCGACCAGGGTCAGATACAAACCACCAGTCAACTGCCCAATGGGATGGAAATTGGCCGAACAATGTGGAGGAGATT